ACCGGGGAACCCACTCGCAAAATTTTGGCGCCGGAGTTTGCTTGGGTGCGGAGTTGAAATACCCGGACAGACGCACACACACACGCGCACACACACTCACACACACGCGCACACACACCGGAGTCGTCGCAATATGCGTTTCGCATTTGCATATTATGCAAAAACGCATAAAAATGTTTACTACCTGTGGGTGGCAGCCAGGAAAAGAAAGGTGTACTCCGCCCCGAAATGCATTTAGTAGATGAGCACAGTCCCTGGAACACAGTCCCTGACACAGTCCCTGGAACGCAAAATGCCAGTGGTGTAGTGGATATCATGTCGAGTCCGGATGTTAGGGGAGGTAGTTCGATTCCCTACTGACACTCCCTTTTCGAAAAGGGGCTCCGTTCACGACAGAGATCTCATGTTAATGCAAATGATGTTACTTGATGTGCCCTCAAACACCGGATTCAACAATCTCGTGCTACATGTTCGTCACCATTCCGGAGTCCGCCGAGTGGTTGTTTGCTTTCTCACGAGCCCCATTCATCCACATGCGACGGTTTCAGAGAAGTGGCCTTCAGTTTACGGATATTTTCTTTCTTGGTTTCAAGTTTAATTTATTCGAAAAGATGCAAATTAAATTATATTCACTCTGGACGCGTTTGAAATGCTCAAGAGTTCATTCTTTGGCACTTTATACGGTGGTTCGGCTCAGGGATTCCCACGTGCGAACTTCTAGATGATATTGAGCAGCCTGGGGCTATTTTTTAAAAAGAATGATAAATGGGTTGTTTTAATGGAATTTTCTGTGCCAGAGAGTCTCAACACTGGAGCCAACGAGGTCATGCCCGGAGAGATGTTCCCAGTTGCAGATAAGGGATGTGAATCGCCACCGGCTGCGCGTTCTTGATTAATTCATTATTAATTGATGTTGATGAAGGGATGCATTAGTTAAGTAATCTGGGGCAGCAGCGCGTCCTTCAATCAGTCACTTTAAAATTGTATTTTTTACATTTATGCCAACGTATTCTTCATACATTCGTGTAGCAGCAATAACAACAACAACAACGATAACAATTATGATAGAGTAATGATTCTAGTGAATAGTTGCGGTTCATTATTCTACAGTAAAAGCTAAGTGAGAGGGTGGAAGATTGGGGCAGCTCGTTGGGCATTTCACTCCGATGACCCTTTCACAGTAGCGACTTCGCGTCCACATCCTAGTCTGTCCTTACTGGGCTAACAGTACGGTCACTCATAACCTAATCTACGTTTCCTGCAGTGGCTCACACGTTTCGACCCACTTCTGTTGAGGCAATGTTATCCATTTCGAATATGATGATCACGTACTTGGTGAGTGCTAATTAGAAGTATGACGTAGCTGCGCCCGGAGTATGGGAGCATCCCAGTAA